AACTTCTTGACCAAAATATAGATGCAGCACTTTCCACCATCAATGCATTTATCCTATCTAATATACTTAAACTTCAGTAGTGCTCTAAATTATGGACAACTCTCGAGCACCGCTTACAACCTACAAACCTTTCCCGAGTAATCCAAATAAAAAATGAGCTCTATAATATCACTACGAAAAAAACTATGTCCCAATACCTTACCTCTATTAAAACTCGGGTAGATAATATCACGGCAGTCGGCTCCCACATTGATCCAGAAGATATCAGTCTTCATATCTTAAATTGTTTACCCACATTATACTAAGCATTCCAAACAATTATACGAAAAACTCTTACACCCATAAGCCTAGATGATTTCTACTCTCTACTGTACAATGAAGAAATACACATCAACAATAATCAATCCAAGGTATCTCAAGCCAATGATCCATCATTAGCTTTGGTTTCAACGAACAATCGAAATTCTCATTCCAATAGGATCAGAGGAAACTACAACTCCCAACGAGGCACCAACACATTTCAAAGCGGAAGCAAAAACTCTGCCTCCACTCTTCACTGTCAAATTTGCAGGAAACAAGGTCACTCTGCTGCAAGTTGTTGGCATCGCTACAACAACAGCCATTCAATTTCCTTCAACAACCTTCTAAAAATGAATGGATTCTAGATAGTGGCGCTATAACTCATATGACAATAGCACTTGATTAGATTAAACAACCTAAGTCATATTATGGTTCCAATGAAGTTCTGCTAGGTAGCAACAACTCATTTTCCATCGCCAGCAGTGACCCAAGTCTATCAACACCAAATCCTAATCATAAAATTCTTTTCCCTCATATCCTCCATGTTCTTGCACTCTCTCATAACTTTCTTTCAATCAATAAACTTATATCTGATAACAATTGTGCTATAATTTTTGACACTACAGATTACACGATTAAGGACAAAGTGACTAAACATATGTTACCAAAAGGGACAAGTCGTAACAGGCTCTACCAAGTTACCTCTCACGGGCACATCCTCCTTCCACTACTCTCCTAGCTTGTTCATCCACTACGCAGCTCTGGCATTCTTGGCTTGGCCATCCACATGCCACTATAATGTCAATAATTTCAAAACAGCAAACCTCCTTATGCATTACTTTTTGTTCTCTTTTTTGCAATTTTTGTAAAATGGCCCAGAGTCATAAATTGTCATTTACTAATCACAAGTATCCACACTATAAAAAGTTTGAGTTACTCACTATAAGGACTGGAGACCTTCTCCAATTCCATCTATCAATGGATAAACATATTTCATTTCATTTATTGATGATTCATCTCTTTGTTTAAGTTCATCCAATGCACTCAAAAGTTTATTCAATTAACCCACATGCTTGAAACACAATTCAGCGCTCACATTAAAATCCTTCGTTCTGAGGGTGTGGTGAATATGTCAATCAAAACTTACAAAATTTTCTCACAAATTAGGGAATAATTCACCAATTCAGCTCTCTCTAACCCCCAGAACAAAACGGCATTGAGTAGTGAACATTGACTAATGAAAACATCTTCATATACTTGAACAACACGAGCTCTCCCAAGAAGCCCATCTACCACCTAAGTTCTGGATAGCAGATCAAAAGCTGAGTTACTTACACATATTTCATTTCATTTATTGATGATTCATCTCTTTGTTTAAGTTTATCCAATGCACTCAAAAGCTGAGTTAACTCAAAAGTTTATTCAATTAACCCACATGCTTTACACACAATTCAGCGCTCACATTAAGATCCTTCGTTCTGAGGGGACGGTGAATATGCTAATCAAAACTTGCAAAATTTTCTCATTTTCTCACAAACTAGGGAATAATTCACCAATTCAGCTCTCTCTAACCCCCAGAACAAAACGGCATTGAGTAGTGAAAACATCTTCATATACTTGAACAACACGAGCTCTCCTTCAAGAAGCCCATCTACCACCTAAGTTCTAGATAGCAACTCAAAAGCTGAGTTAACTCAAAGTTTATTCAATTAACCCACATGCTTGAAACACAATTCAGCGCTCGCATTAAAATCCTCCGTTCTGAGGGGGTGGTGAATACGCTAATCAAAACTTGCAAAATTTTCTCACAAATCGAGGAATAATTCACCAATTCAACTCTCCCTACCCCCCAGAAAAAAACGACATTGAGGAATGAAAACATCTTCATATACTTGAACAACATGAGCTCTCCTTCAAGAAGCCCATCTACCACCTAAGTTCTGCATAGCAGTTCTCCTCACTTCAATTTATCTCATTAATCGCCTACCCCGTCTCTCCACCACTTATAAGAAATCACCCTTTGAACTTCTTCATCGCAAACTTCCTTCCTACTCCCATCTCAAAGTTATTGGGTGTCAATGTTTCTCATGGCTTCATCCATACTCTATACACAAATTATCCTCTCGCTCTTCACATATATTCACTGGGTACTCTCCATCTCATGAAGCACATAACTATCATCTCATCACGTAGTCTTCGATGAGACATCTTTCCCGTACTCCTCAATACCAGTTGCATCTCCTCCCTCACTGGTGGAGAACTATCAACCACATACAAAACTCATTCCTGCCTCTTCTCTATATCCAACTATCACATCTTCTAGCCCTCCTACATCTTTCCCAACTATTAATCTCATTACACCACAATCTACACATCAATCTACTGCATCTTCATCCAGTCCATCTCTACAATTGTTCACATCTCCTTCACGACAGTCTGCATCATCTGTCATACCCATTCCCACTCACCCTATGCACACCTGATTCAAACTAGTCATTTCAAACCAAAACAAATCTTCAATCTCCACACAGATTTATCCCCACATACCACTCCCACACCCTACACTGAGGCTTGTAAACATCCGCATGGGAGACTTGCAATGCCACAAGAATTTTTTGCCCTACAACAACACTAGGCCTAAACACTCGTCCCACCACCTTCCAATCATCCAATCCTTGGTTGTCGCTAGAGCTACAAGACTAAGCTCAAACCGGATGGCTCTAATGATAGGTAGAAAGCTGGGCTTATAGCTCAAGAATTTAATCAAGAAAATGGTATTAACTACTCTAAAACTTTCAGCCCAATAGCTAAAATGCCCATTTTTTCATATTTTACTTACCATTGCAGCTCATCATGGATGGGTAGTTCCAACTTGGCATCTAGCATGAACAAGTCTATACGGCACAACCTCCTGATTTTCAAGATAATAAACATCCAAATTATGTTTGCAGACATCACAAAGCCCTTTACGGCTTGAAACAAGTGTGTTTCTCACTTTCTCCAGCCATCTCCTTAATTATGGCTTCAAAAGTAGCATGTTCGATCCATCCCTTCTCTCCTATATCCATGATGACATTCAAATTTACATACTCATATACGAGGGCGATATACTTATCATGGGCAACGAAAACTCTAAGATCTCCACTCTCATTAAGGACATGCAACAAGCTTTTAAAGTGAAAAATAGGGGGGGACACATTTCCTATTTCCTTGGCATTCAACTATATCTCACACCAATAGGTTTCTTTCTCAGCCAAGTGAAATAAGTCCACGATCTTGTCTATAGAGTTGGTATGAGTGACTGTAAAGCAGCTACCTCTCATATTTGTCTCAAACAACTGACAAATTCACTCTCAGAACTGCCTTTTCATGATCTCACCTAGTTTCGCCAAATAATTGGCTCCTTACAATATCTAACAATCACAAGGCCCGATATCGCATTTATAGTTAATATGTTTTGTCAATCGATGTGTACACCTTTCAACAAATACTTTCAGCTACTCAAGAGACTTCTCTGATATGTCAAGGGAACTCCATAATTTGGGCTTACACATCTACAAAGGCCCGCTCAAGCTCTACTCCTATTTTGTCTTAGATTGGGTCGACCCTCTTGATCGCAAATCAACTACAGGCTATTGTTCTTTTCTTGGTCCCATGCTTGTCTCATGAAGTGTTAAGAAGCTGTCAATTGTAGCCAAGTCTTCCGTTGAAGCAGAATATAGAGCATTGGCAACCGTAGTCACTAACATCATATGGCTTCGTCATCTCCTTTAGGATTTCTAAATTCAGGTCTCTAGCGCTAAAGCTCTTAACTGTGATAATACATCCGTCATTTCTCTCACAAACAATACAGTCTTTCACGTTAGAATCAAACACATGAATCGACTATAATTTTATTCGCGAATGTGCATTCCAACAAAATTACAGTCCTTCACATTCATTCAAAAGATCAGATAGCATATATCTTCACCAAAACTTTATCCATGCCCAGATTTCAGCACCTTTGCAACACTGGACGATCAAACTGCAGGGGGTGATAAAAACACTACACTATATGTTAGTTAAGATAAGTAGCATAATTCGATTCCAGCATCTCTCCACTACCTCTGCTCCTAAAACCACCTCTGCTGCAATAACAAACTTGTCTTTTCTATTCATGTATATCGTCTGTGAATTTTATCTGAGATATATAAGATGAGACAGTGAAATACTACTGTCTAATTCCTGCATTCCTCTTCTCTATATTTGCTAATTACTGGAACAGTTTCTCATTTGCATAAAAGGATAAAGCCGTAACAGAATAAAGCCCCCTGAAGTAGAATAAAATCAAGCAACTTCCTTTCACCTAATGTTACATCTTCAGGACCTTCAAATAGGAACGCATCCAGAGCAGGCAAAATCTAAGGAAACTGTGAAACAAAACGAACCACACAAGCAGTTCAAGGAACCAGTCTAAAATAAAAGAAATTGTATTTTTGGCCTCTCTTCTATGAAATGCAACCGATCAAAGAAGTAAGAAAGCCAAACTCTCGGGAGGGCTTAGGATTTAGGGCTCTTACCTTTCTCATGATAATAATAAAGAACCAGCACTAATAGGATTCGAAAAGCCCTGACAAAGGCATAAAAAGCCTTCTGTACATCAATCAAATATTCGCTCGGGAAGAAGAAGGCGAAAGGAGAAAGGATTGCAGGGAACTCACCTTCCGGTTTTATCTTCTCGTTCAGATTATTGATATAGATTGTCATGTTGGCTGAAATAGCCGGTGCTTCTCCTCCGCTGGTTGCATTACTCATCCTACCTGCTTCGCGCCTCCCGTCCCTCCACCGAATGATAGTATTCGGAAGTCGAAGACACGAGAGACGATGAAAACTTCATTTAAAAGAAAAGGCATAATTACATGCACAGTACCGCAAACATCAATATTTACAAATTCTACAAATTCAAATGTGGCTTTTGATGACTTTAACATAATCCTTAATTAAATGAATATGCCCATTGTTTGCTTTATTGAAGTAACATTTACCAAAGTTCATTTTGGACTAAAATGCTCCCACTTTTAAGTAGGAGTCAAAATCATTATTGAATAGTTATGTGACTTCTCAATCCTATGAGCTCATCATTTTGTATCGAAAAATTGCAAAGCATAGATTGCAATAAAATTTCATTTTGATGGTGTCTCCAATCATCTTTTGTTCAAGGCTAGTAATATTATGTGTTTAGTTATTTACATTTGCAAATATTGGTTGTATTCTAAACCCTAAACTTGAAACTCTATTAGTCATTAGATTGCTTGTTATGGACTTGTTAGAACCATATCTAACCACCTTCAAATCATTTCCAAATCAAAATAACATCCATCATGATCAAAGCATAATTGAAGTAGGCTTAAACAACTATGAATTATCCGTGAACCATGATCAAAATATCTGTAATTATGATTGAAACATGATTTTCATCTTTGAATAATGATTTAACCATCTTCAAACTACAATTAAAACATCTCCTAACACAATTAAACCATTTTCTAACCATATTTGAAGTTTCAAATAAGGTTTGAATATAATTTCTTAAAGTTTCAATCAAGATTTAAAAATGGTGTTAACATCGTTAGAATTAGTTGAACAACGTTCTAAGATAATTTAATCATGATTCAAAGATGTGTGATCATAAATTGATCATAATTTATTCGTGTTCAAAGACTGTTTAATCAAATTTATCATAAATTGATCATAATTTATTGATGTTCGAAGATTGTTTAATTATAATTTGTGAAAGACATGACAAATTCAAGAAAGGGGGTAAATTATTATATAATTTTTTTAAAACCATTTTGAACAATCTTATATGGAAAATTTTATATATTTTTTTTATTTTTAAAGCAAGGAAAAATATACAAATAAGATATTCTAATTAAGCAAAATACTTAGAAAAAGTTTTCTTTTAATCTTTTAGACAATCTTCTAACATGAGCTTTTTAGATCAAATGTTAATCTACCATGTTTCTCTAGTAACTTGAATCACATAACATATCCATTTTTTCATATTCCTCATTACACCACAATATTTTCATGACATCACTAAGTTGGATGTATGTAAAAAGTGCAACCAAAATAAAAGAGTACGACATAAAAAAGATTATAAAATGTTCTATAATGCTCTTTTTGATCAAGTCCTCTTGAAAATTCAATTACTCTCTACTTTTACCACCATAAGACCTGAACTTCTTATGCTTTAAAAAAAAAACTACGACTCTAATCTACATACAGTATTTCCAAGACTTATAAAAGCTTTCGAAAATTTTATATCTCTTATAAATACAAACACAGTGGCTCACATAATAGCCAAATGTTTAGACTATAAGGATTCCAAGGTCTAAGAAAATCAAGAACTCATAGTTTACTCTTTCACAAGAAAAAGCTCTCTTTAGAATTTTGTGAATAGTGGCTCAAAGTGCTTGCTTTAAGACATCTTTTTTCACTCTGCTAACTTAATGTTTCATCTCATCTCTTCCATTAAAGATATGATAAGAAAATTTATTTATATTTAGTGGTTAACCTAATCCTGTTAATTCTGAAAAAAAAAAATATTAGTTGATCATGTTTGTACGATCAAGATCATACAATATGATCAAGATTAGTGTTATTTTAATTAATCTATAAGAAATCATCTTGTAAATTTAGCTAATTATTTAGACTAATTTAGGCCTTTATCTCGCCAAGTGGGGTCAAGTACATGAATCATTTTTTCTCCACTGTGTCTTACTGAGTGTCATATTTTTATTTAATTCTAATAGATTAAGATCATTTTTTATACAATATGCCAAGTTTTTTTAGTTCTACCTTTGCCTTTTTTAATATTAATCGATTCTAAAATATCTACTCTCCTAACTGAATCATCAGATAGTCGGATGGTCGACATTTAATGTGACCAAACCATCTAAGAAGACTCTCTCTAATCTTGTTTGTCACTAGAGTTACACCAACCCTTTTATGGATAGATTCATTTCGCATTTTTTTATCTAAGTGTGAAGCCACTCATCCACCTAAGCATTCTCATCCCAACAACACTTATCTATATTTTATGCTCACTTTTAAAGGCCAACATTCTGTGCCATAAAGCATTACAAGTCTCACCACTATCTTATGAAATTTTCATTCAAGTTTGAGCTATACTTTTCTATCACACAATAAACCTGATGAATTCCTTCATTTAAACCAACCAACCTGAATTCCATTAATAACATCATCATTTATATCACCATCCCTTTTAAAAATAGACCCAAGATATCTAAAATGTTCACACCTTTTAATGATTTGATCACCCATAGTTACAACTATGCCACTATAGTTGTCAATACTAAAACTACATTCCATGTATTTAATTTTATAACTAATCAAAATGAAGGCCTTTATAGTCCAATGTATATCTCCATAATTCTTTTTTTTTTGCTAAGCTCTTTCTCTAGTCTTATCCACAAGAAGGATATCATCAGTGAAAAGCATACACTAATGTACATCAAGAAGGATATCATCAGTGATCATCAGTGAAAAGCATACACTAATGTACATCCTCCTGTAAATGTGCAATAAGAGTATACATAACTTAAGAAAAAAGATATGGGCTTAAAAGCAAATCAAGGATGTAATCTAATGATAGTAGTAAAATATTTGGTCAATCATCCTTCTGTTCGAACACAAGTAACAACTCTGATATAAATATCTTTAATGACTTGAATATAATTCATATCAGCATTTTTCTTCTCTAGAACTCCTCAAAGAACTTCTCTGGGAACCTTATCATATGCATTTTCTAAATCAATAAAAATCATATGTAAATTCTCGCTACCTCTTTGTACTTTTCCCTCAAACCTCTCAATAAATGTATAGCTTCCATTATAGAGTTTTCTAACATAAATCCAAACTGATTATGAGAATCTTTGTATCATGTCCTGACCTGTTTTTAATTACCCTCTCCTATAATTTTAAAATATAACACATTAACTTAGTTCCTTTATAATATGCATACTCTTGTGGATCTCCTTTTTTCTTAAAAAATGGGGACTAGAATACTCTTCTTCTACTTTTAGAGCATCTTTTTAGTTTTTTTTTAATAATATTGAAGATTTTAGTAAACCAAGAAACTCACAAATCTCCTTGATATTTCTATACTTCAATTAGGATATTATCAGGTCATACTGATTTTCCACCATTGGTTTTCCTTAAAACCTCCTCAAGTTCATTTTTTCTAATATGATGGTAAAAAAAAAAAAAATTCTATTACTATTGATACTAAGATCATTAAGGTCATTATATTTTCACAAACTTCTTTCCAAAAACTTCATTGATAAGTTTATAAAAATATCTCACTCATCTATGTTGAATATCTTCCTTTAAGAAAAACATTTTTTTTTATTTCCATCTTTAATATACTTTACTCTAATTAAATCTTTATTTTTCTTTTCTCTTTATTTGGCCAGTTTATTCCTTTATTTTTCTTTTCTCTTTATTTGGCTAGTTTATTCTTCACCCTCTTTAGTATCTAATTTATTATAAAGATCACTAAATGCAGAATTCTTAGCATCATAAACTGTTATCTTAGACTTCTTACCGACCACCTTATATTTTTTTCAGTTCTCTAATTTAAATGTACAGAAGAGCCGGTAGTGAATTGTGGATATGTGGGATTAGTGATACACTTGACGTTTAATTAAATTAATTAAACTTATAACTTCAAAATTTTATATCTTTTCTTGCGCTAAAAATTCATGCATGATGCTATATAAATCAAATTAATTGATTTGATATGTAGAATTTTATAAAATTACTTCGATCGAATTTTGGGAGATGCAAAATTTGGAGTGCATTAAATTTGGGATCTCAAATTTAGGGTGTCACAAATACCTACCTACATATATTAAATAATTATAAATAACTAACTAAACTGAATTAATTTCATAAAAAAAATATTGACCTCAAAATAGAAGCCCGGTGCGAACGGCTCCGACCACTTTTAAACCATCTTTTAACTAATTTAATTATATTTAAAAGTTTCAAACAAAAACTGAATATGATTCGATCTTGATAGACAATAGGATGATTAAATCATTTCTAGATCTATATTTTAGCTTTTTAATAAAATTCAAATAAAGTTTTAAATTTCTAATAATAAGTTCATACCTATTAATTAGTAAAGCGTTCAAACCTATAAAATAAAAAGCATGATATTACCATCCTTCAATAAATGATGATTGAAATATATACAAACTATCATTGCGAAGTACCATCTCGAGCAAATTAAATAAGGTTGCCTGAGAAAATAAGATCACAGCAGGAGGGATGTTCAGGCATTCTCTGTTGTTTAAGAAATTTCATCTCTTGGCTCGAGAGTTATGGCTTAAATGTTTATATTGTAGAGGCAATTTTATCCGAAATAAACTTTTAATATATTTATTGAAGAAAACAAATATTAGATATATCTAACCAATCTCATGTATTATGAGATGTCTATGAGTATTTTCATTTAATATATATTATATATACAACAATTGTGCGCTCGCGCACGTGTGTGTATATGTGTGTGTGTGTGTGTGTGTGTGGGCGCGCGCGCGCGCGCGCGTGCGCTCTTCCCATTGCTTGTTTGCCGATGTAGACGTGACTGTGTCGGTGTGCTGGTACTCACCTTTACCCCTCTGTTTAAAATAGACTGGTTTTCCGGTGGAGCCCTTTGAGGACAAACCGCCTGAGATTTCACCTCCAAACGAAGCGAATGGTTATTTGTCTGGGTGATTGCTACCCGGAGGATCTTGAATTGCTCCATCATGATGGTCATTTGGGCTTGTAAGTCTTGGACATGTACATGAGCGTCTAGTTGTGTATCATCTCCATTGGATTCTATGTGTATTATCTCTCTTTGAGAAGATTCTCCTTCGTAGTATTTTTCCAATTCTCGTCTGTGGCATATCTACGCTGACCACACCACTTTTTAGGATGTTAGATAGTAAATTGTTCTTTGTGAACACACTCTGAGAGTTTAGAATTAAGTGAAGGAATGAAAAGAGAAAAAGAGTAAAACAGTCAGAACTTTCCTGTAGAGAGTCGGTAAAATGTCATTTTATTTGTATTTTTTCCTTCTATTTATAGATGCATATTTTATACAATTACAGAAATGAATGAGCAGTACCGCTCTTAATACAATTGATATTATAATTACTCGTAAAAATTGTATATCATATTCGTATTACAATTTGAATTTTAACATGAGAGTATTTGACTGACTGACTTGCTTGAATTCGGTCGACTGTGGTGAGCGATTGAGTGACGACCGTACCATGGGTTGGTCGGTCCCGGTTGAGTATTGATCTTGTCCGCCGTGGTAAGGCGGGTCAACCGATTGGCTGCAATTAAGCATTCTCGTCTGCACCCCGGTAGGTCGAGATTTTCGGCGTGGTATGTTGTTCGAATCACTCATCATGACGTGTCAGTCAATTCTTGACCACGTGATTGGCACTAGAGCGGTAGAACGCCTTGGTTGTCTGATCGTCGTCTGGACCGTTCGAATGCTTTGGTATTTGTGCTGACAATTGTGGTGTGTGTATATATAACAATTTCTATTTAAAAGGATAGACAAAATAAGTGCATCGTTATATCACGCATGAATATAATGACATTTAGGGTAGATCTAAATGTCATTATATTCATGCATGACATTTACGGCCCGTTTTGGGCAGCTTATTTGGTGCGGTGGCGTTTTGAAAACACATCTGACCTGTTTGGATAAACTGCGTTTTGGCAGCTTATGCGTTTTCAAAACGCAGAAAACAATGTTTTCACACCGCACCTATCTAGGAAATGGTTTGGCTTTTCTAAAAAAACAAAAATTTGTAATAACCGTCACACTTAGCTTATCAGCAGATTATTTTTAATCAGCTTATCAGCAGATTATTCAATAAACTATAGCTGCCCCAAACAGACCCTTAATACTGCAAGTTTCATTCCAAATTTCTAACACAGCAACCAACTTTATGGCCGAAGCGAGAAACATAATTCCTGTAAAGCAGCAGTCCAAACATACAAAATTCCATTTATTTTAACTCCATAAACTCTTTAAAGAACTGTCAAACATAATAATTTTCTTTTCAGACAGAAAAATAAGTGAAAACAAAATTATTACTTTCTAAAAAAAATTTCTAGCTACAGGCAATCCAATGAGCCCAAAAAAATAACGAGCGAACGGCTGTCCAATGGATTACATCGAAATGGTAATCAAGTAATGGTATGTTCACAAGGTGATGCCATCGAACAGAAAAGATCTAAGAATTAGCTGTTGGTAATCGAGTTAGCTGATATTTGCCGTCTAGGTTATTGGAAGCACACCAAATCATCCAACATTTATCAACCATTTCCAAATCGTGGGGGCTGCATGGCCAATAAGAAACAAAGCCAGTGAGCTTCTCTAAAAACATTATCTAGAAGAGCATAAAATAAGACCATCCCCACTAAGAATTTGCTTATTAAAATTATATAATGCTATCTTCCTATTTGATGCATGGAAAACTATAGGCTTTGTTTGCGTTGAACAAAAGCGATCGAAATGAAACATAATCCAAAAGCTTTATGGTTTGCTTATGAATTTATTGATTGCTCATTCCAACTTGTTTTATTTCTATTTTCTCAAAAGCCATTCCAATATTTTCAGAGTAATAAATGTTAACCAACTAATACAATGACAAAAGCTAACTATTTATTTTTAAAAAATTATTTGAAAGTATAGGAGTTTCTGCTTTCACATGACAAATGAAATACGGTACTCATGCTAAGATGATATTTACCTTTTTAGAAATTGCTTTGGATAAATTTGACAGGCTCTGAGATGAGCTTGTGGTATTGTCTAATCCACTTGCGTTTGGCTTTCTACCATCAACAGCTTTCAATATATCGAACGAACAAAGCAATGTTTCATGAATACTCAAGAAAGCACCCACATTGTCAAACTCCCCACAATAATTAGGAGCTGAAAATATGGTAACAAGCCTCCTTCCTCCAAAAAACTCGTACCCATCTTCAACAACCTAGAATTTAGATTAGCGAGACAAAATTCAAATGACGCAAAAATATCTATGAATTTGTAAATAAAAAATTTACTGACCTGGTGACCCCTACATATGAGTTCAAGTTCATTTTTATCAAGAAACTCCACAAGTTTATCAACACCAAAAGTACATGAAACACCTCGATCACTCAGCCCCCATCCTTCAATCTTGGGATCTGGATCAGACCAAAGCAGATCACAAAGAAGACCGCTATCCGGAATTTCGGTGGGCCTTTCTATTTCTTCTATCCTGCTCAAACTGTCAAGCTCCGGCGAAAGTCCTCCGTGCATACAAAAGATCTTGTCATCGACCACAGCAGCAACAGGCAGACAGTTGAAGCAATCGGAGAATGTTTTCCACAGGCGAACATTGAATCTTCGTTTACATTCATCATAAAAACCATACACTCTGTTGACTTTAGCATCCTCATGATTTCCTCTCAAGAGAAAGAATTTGTCAGGGTACTTTATCTTGTATGCTAACAATAAGCAAATTGTCTCTAAGCTTTGTTTGCCACGATCCACATAGTCACCAAGAAATAGATATGAGGTAGTAGGAGGGAAGCCACCACGGTCAAATAACCTTATCAGATCAACATACTGTCCATGTATGTCTCCTGCAGTAGACGAAGCATTAGAAGTACAGAATCATGTTTTAGCATCTAAATCAAATTTTCTTCTAATAGAACAGCCAACGTGTCTCGTGCATTTGATTGGCGAATATTGAAATTAAATTTGGAACAATATAAAGGAGCACTACTAATAAGTAAGAACTTACATTTAGATTAAATACAAACAGAGTTATATATTAAAAAAAGAAAAAAAATAAATCATACTTTGCCAAGTACATTCAAAATTAAAATAAACAAGGTATGTAAATATATAAGAATTATGTGGTATGCATGTAAATGCCCCCATAGGGAAATTTACATACATACCACACAATTCTTATGCATTTACATATCTAGCAAACCAAGTTTAATATTTACACTTGTAACACCTTGGTGTCATAAATCTATGCATGAAAAAGATATATTTTACTTTTAAAAAGATAGTGACATTGATATTTTTGATGTAATTTTAAAAATTTGAGTTGTATGCAGGTAAATATGAAAGTTTAGGTGTTAGATAGGTAAATATATAGGTATTATGTGGCATGCATGTAAATGCCCCTAAATTCTAACTATATATCATGAAGTGAAATGCATAAAGAAAAACTTTAATATGCACAAACGCAAATGCGTTTATTTACTTCTACTTTTCTTTCCAATACAATGACATTAAAGTTTGCTGGCACTAATGCTATTTTTTAGCTAAAGTTTAAAGGCAAAGTAATTTTTTTGTTACTTCTATATCATTTTCCTTCAGATATTATCACTCAACTGATTTTATCAATTTCATGTTAAAATCAACCAGTATAACTTACAAAATCCAAAAGCAAAACAGCTTTAGATAACCTTTTAAAAATGATATTGTGCTACTCAAGATTTTATATTAGCTGCTTTCAAAAGAATTTTTAGGTGGCTCACCCGGGGGGAGACATCCGACCAGCTGAGCACACACCCACAGGTTGAGGAATCGCTCTCGGTGAATGTAGCTTGCCTTTTATTTTCCATATGTGGGCGGACATAGATTTAATGATTAGAAAACAGTAGCCGTCTATCACTCAAATAAAAATATTAATCTTTATTTATTAAAATATTAAGAAAATGTCTTAAAGTTCTTTCTAACAATAGTTAAACAAAAAAAAATAAAAACGTTAATCCAACACAGATAGCTCTGCACTCACTCAATCCTTCTCCCATTATTTCATCACAAAGTCGCTTGATCATTGTTTCTCCCTCACGACCTCATACCCACTGCCTCACCGACATGCTTGTTGTTACTTTTCCCCAATTTATGCTAGAAAAATGGTAGGCTAGTAGTATAGCAGGAAAACAGATAACCAGGAAATGGAGAATATAGTCTGTTCATTTTCATTACATAACAAGGAGTATATACAATAGCTGTCTATTTATAGAGATTACGGAGATAAAATATAAGATGCAACAGACTTAGTTATATACAGATGGCTGTGATTGTTCCAGGTTGTTTGTAACAGATGATTCCTGTGTAAATGTGTGCATGGAGGATGTGTTTGCTTATTGTAGTTTGGTTGTATGGTTATTACCTTCCCTCAAACTTATGAGATCAGAACAAATTGTGAGCTTGGTTCTTAGATCTGCAAACCTTTTTGCTGAGAGTTGTGTGAATGTCAGTAGGTTGAACCTAGGAACTGATGTGTCAAACTTGAAGGAAACCTGAATAAAATGTTGTCTGATGAATTGGTAATCAATCTCTATATGTTTAATATGAGCATGATAAATTGGATTGTTGGTAGTTGTCATTGCCGAAATGTTGTCACAATGGATTGGGGTCGGTCGAGAAAGGTGATTGTGTAAATCTATGAGTAGTCGTCTGAGCCAAAGGACATCCCTTTTAGTAGAAGTTAGAGTGCGATGCTCGGCTTTTGTAGGGTGTGGCCTAGAAATCAGAAGAGACCTAAGGTGGATTCACAATATTTTGAATTCGAAGTCCAATCGGCATCTCAGTATGAAGGTGAAGACTTCAAGGAGTGATGAAGAGACCAAAATTTATGGTGCCTTTGAGGTAACGTAATAGTCTTTTGAGGAGTTGACGTAAATATTGAGAGGTTGGCACACCTATTGTTGAGGTGTGGAATTTAGAAGAGCATCCACACTGCCACAAGGGAGTGCCAGAAGAGCCAAGCACATAAATGCATGGCGTACCTATGCTAAAAATGGTGTAGCTACATCAGGCAGCGTAACTACACCGCAACTAGTCATAGCTACATTGCGACTGCTTTAACTCTGATTCCATACCGAACGCGCGAAATAATTATGTCAGGTATTGGTGTGGTCAAACCAAGGAAGTTTCTCCATTACAGGACATAAATCCCTCGATATGGAGCTGTGATTTATGTCTCTCTCGCGTACGGTGTTTCTCGACATGAGTTCTTCATGAAGGTGAATTGTCCATAGATTTCGAAGCGAGAGCTTTCTCTTACGGGATCAAGATATAGGATTGGAGCGAAATACTGTAAGTTATAGTGATTTTAGAGAGTTGATATGAGTGGTATATTTGTACTTTTCTACCATTCATAGTAAAATTTTAGTGTGGTGTTGCTCCATGATTTTTTTCTGTTCTCAAGTTTTTTCACATAAATCCTGGTGTGCTTTTCTTAGATTACTTTATTTTGCATCAGTTCGACTTTTTTAATTTAGGATTTCTTGAATAGGTGTTTCTATTTTCTGTGATGTAGTTTTAATTATGAACCAATCAAAGCCCTAGATGCATATTTCATCCCAACAAGTGGTATCAGAGAGGCCTGCTTGATTCGAGTTGGAGCAATGGCCAACAAAGCGAGGTACAAAGTGAAGATATTCAATGGATCAAACTTCACATTTTGGAGGATACAAGTGAAGGATTTGTTGTACCAAAAAAAATTATATTTGCCGCTACATGGAATCACCAAGAAGTTTTGATAGATGACTATGGAGGAATGGGAAGATCTGGATCAAATTGTCCTAGGTTTGATCCATATGCCACTTTCATTGTCTATTGCATTCAATATAGTTAATGGAAAAATCAAGGTAGATCTCGTGGCGGCACTGAAAAAAATGTATGAAAAAACTTCTGCTTCAAATAAGATTTTTCTGTTGATGAGATTATTCAATATGAAATGACGGAAGAGAGTTCAGTGCCTCAACACTTGAATAATTTTAACACTGTAACTAACCAATTGTGTTCTTTCGGAATTAATGTTGATAATGAAGCCAGAACACTATCAATTCTATCTTTATTGTTGAATAGTTGGGATGGTTTGGTCATAGAGATGAGTAACTCTTCTCGGAATATGAAGTTAAACTTCGATGACATCATGGGGTAGGGGTTGAATTAAGAAGTTCATTGAAAGACAACGAACGGTGAATCTTAAGGTTCCGTGTTAAATGTTGAAAACAAAATAAGAAATCTGGACATAAATACAGGCAAAGACATAGTCGAGTCCAGAAGAGGAAGTTCAGGTCAAGTAGAGAAAGAAATAGATGAGAATGTTGGAATTGTGAAATAAAGAACATTTCAAGAAAGACTACAAGGCTCAAAGGAAAACTAGTGGTGGAGGATAAAGGAATGAATCTCTCTACAAATGTCTCCACTAGGGAAATCAAATGTGACTCCCTGGTTTTATCCCTAGTCAGTATCGAATCTTAGATAGTAGATTCAGACACATCTTTTCAAGCATGCCTCAACAAAGAGATTTAAAAATCACACTCAAAGTGATCTAGGTGAGACTTATTTTGGAGATAACAAGATCTGCAGTATCATAAGAAATAATGACGTGGACATCAAGTTGCCAAATGGAAAGTTTAGAAGCTCAGTAAAATCATAAATGTTCCAAGTCGGAAGAAAAATTGGATCTCCATAACCCAGCTGACAAAATCAAGGTATGTGACTACTTGTACAAGATAATTGTGGAAGTTGACTAGGGTACAATGATGATGACTCGAGGCAACATTTTAAGCACTCTTTATATAATTAATGAATATTTTGGATTTCATTGATGTGACTGAAACCAAAGTGGATATATGTCTATGACACCCTAGACTTGACTGTATGAGCAAAAAAGGTATGAAGTCCCTACTTTCAAAAGATAAAATTTAAAATTTATAGTAGAAGAAAATTTCTTCCTCGAAAGGTTGATCAATGATGAAATCAAAGAAACTGGAGTTAGTTCAAATTGACGTATGAGATTTTACCCTAGTTCGATTCATTGAAGGTTCCCACTACTGTGCAATATTTATTGACATTCATACCAGAAATGTATGAGTTAACTTCTTGAAAAAAAAAATGATGTATTTGAAGTATTTAAGAAGTAAAAGACAATGGTATAAAATGAGACGGGCTTGAAGCTAAAATATCTCAGATCGGATAATAAGAGTGAGTGTCGTGACCAGAGGTTCATGAGTTATTGTGCTTCAGTGGGGAACAGGCATGCGCCCACTATTCCAATAACTCCACATCATAATGGAGTAGTTGAGCGCATAAACAGAACCATCACGAAACGTGCCAGACGTATAAGTTTGCATGCAAACTTGTCAAGACAATTCTGGGTAGAAGCAGTAAACACTGCAGTGTATCTGGTTAACAATGGTCCATCAATATCTTTGAAGAAAGGATTACTTGAGAAGTAAGGAGTGACAAAGAAGTAGTTTATCTCACTTGATGGTATTTAGCTTTTTTGCATATGTACATATCGATGTAGGGTCCAAGAATAAGCTTGACTCAAAATCTATCAAGTACATTTTCATTTGGAGCAAGGATGTTACTTACAATGAAATGGAGATGTGCAAGGACAGGATCAGAACTCAGGATAGCCTGTCAGTTACTTTTGAAGAGTCCAAGTATGTTGAGATAGAGAATAATGCTGCTCAAGATGAAGGACAAAGAATTGCTCAATCAGATGAAATACAAGAAGTTCATTAGTCACTTGCTGCTGAAATCAAGAGATCCAGTAGAGCTACTCGACCAACACAGAGGTATTATTCTTTTTTGTATTATTTGTGGCTAACAGATAGTGATGAACC